AAAAACGTCCAAATGACGTTAAAAACGTCAATCTGGCAACGCTGCTTATAGTCACAAAATCAGCTTCGTTTGCCAGTCTCGTGTTACCACTACACCACAGCGGCCAACAACACTTAACGGGTAAAAAAAAATAATCATCGAAAATTTCCATTTCAAAACAAGTAGTTTTGTTTTTATCGACATCAATTTATAAGCGCCATATATGTAATACTTCTATATTGGCAGTAAGCTAACTTCTCAATGTGTAAGCATTCCGAAATCAAAGCGAGACAGTCTAGTACCGTTTTTGTCAATGTATTGTGTACTTGAGTGCCGTTTTTGTATATGTGTTGTGTACATGTTTATTTATAAACGTATGTGTTCCTTCCTTGTGGGGAAAATCTCTAGTTCTAAACTGGGGCGTTTCTAGTACATTCAGACCCAGTACTGGTTCGCGATAAATCTCTTTTACATGCAAGCAACTGGCGAATTTAACATGGCGATGTCCTAGGAAGTGCCAATTGCCCCCCGCTGAATCCCTTTTTCGATAGTTCCGAACCAGTTCTAAAATCGACAGACGAAAGAAAAAAGTATCATGATTTTTCCATCTTTTCGGTTCTTCCGTGTGCGATTTTACATTATTTTCAAAGAAAGGTTTTTTTAATTTGAAATTAAATTTGTTTGAATGATTGTAAGAAATGTACGTTTACATACCTTGCTGTAGCTGACTTTGCTGAGGTGCTCGCTGTATTGGTTAGATTCCAGACGGCCCCAAGATGTTAATATGTTAACACAAAGCTTTGTTTTGTCCCTATGGGGAAAATCTCTAGTTCTGAACTGGGGCGCTTCTAGTACATTTAGACCCAGTACTCGTTCGCGAGAAATCTATTTGCATGCAAGCAACTGGCGAATTTAACATGGCGATGTGCTAGGAAGTGTCAATTGCCCCCCGCAGCATCCCTTTTTCGATAGTTCCGAACTAGTCCTAAATTCTATAGTTCCGAACCAGTTCTGAAATCGATAGACGAAAGAAAAAAGTATCATGATTTTTCAATCTTTTTGGTTCTTCCGTGTGTGCGATTTTAAGTTATTTTGGAAGAAATGTGTTTTCAATTTGAAATTAAATTTGTTTGAATGATTGTAAGAAATGTACGTTTACATACCTTTAGCTGTAGCTGAGTTTGCAGAGGTGCTCGCTGTTCTTTCTTAGATTCCAGACGGTCCCAAGATGTTGAAATGTTAACACAAATTTTAGTTTTGTATTACCAAGCTATGAAAAGAATCTTCGAAGCGCAGAATAGAAGCGCATTTGAACGAAAAAGCCGCCAAACACATATCTATGTAAAGTAAACAAGCCCGCCGCTGCATCCCTTATTCGATAGTTCCGAATTAGTTCTAAATTCGACAAATAAGATCTAGTTCGTTCTGCATCCCTTTTTCTATAGTTCCGAACCATTTCTAAATTCGTCACTTTAGATATAGATTTGTAGTGAAAAAAACTGAAAAAATTAGTTTCTTAAAAGTACCACTTTTCGCCGATTGGATTGGTGGGGATCTAGTCCCTATCGGACTAGTTCCTTTTTGGCGATAAAGACCTAGTACGGAACTAGAAATTTGATTCACTAGTCCGCGGTTTCCCTGCAGGGTTTTCTTTCGTGCGTGTTTATTGATATATCTGTACTGCGGTGTTTTCGGACGGTACTAGCTCTTACTGCCAATATAGGAGTATTACATATATGATAAGCGCACATAAATNTTCGGACGGTACTTGCTCTTACTGCCAATATAGGAGTATTACATATATGATAAGCGCACATAAACTTTGTCGCTTAGAGCTCCATACAATTTTTAAGCGAAGATACGTATGCGTGTAAAAAAACACGCCTAATAATAACAATAGATTGGCGCTTATACATACATATGCTAGTGTTTGGAGGGGCCTTAACTCCGATTTGTGGCGTGCGTCTTGATGTTGTCACAAAAAGTGGAGGGATCTACAGTTTTACACCGATTCCGAAGGACGATTGTATTTTGATGAGAAGCTGTTTTGCTTGGCAGAAGTACACTCGGAAGTTTGCCATTGCCTGCCGAGGGGCGACCTCTGTTAAGAAAAAAACATTTTTCTATATTAATTTTTGCGCTGTTGCTATGACCAGGGCTTGAATCCAGGCACTGCAGAGTGGAAGCGCACACTGCTAATCACTACACCACAGCGGCCGCGGTTCTCTTTTTAATAGTTTTATGTTAATACCAGTGAATAAAAATTGTACGTTTTTACAAGCTTTTATTTAACTTCAATTACATATATCTCCTGGAGTTTTGCTATAAATTCCAACCAACTTCTGGATGAGCTAGAGACTTGAAAGTTTAAACTTAGCGCTAGGGACAAAACGATGCTAGTAAATACTAGTACATACTCGATACTTTTCGTCCGATACCAAGTGATATTGTATCGATACTTCTGAACCGAGTAGTAGGTATCGAAAGAAAGTACTTGTATTCTGTGACAATTTTATTCTCCGGTTTTTATTTTTTAATCTAATTATTTTCGTGGAGTTAACAATTTTTGGCAGTTTACAAGGAATACTATTATAATCTCATTTACATATCGCTAGCTTAAAGTGGAAAATTTCTAAGTTCACCTTTCCAAAAGTTTATATGCAATTAAAGGCAAATTTCCTAAGTCTTAAAGAGGCACAGAAAAATCGATACGCTCACAAAATTCCAAAATCTTTTAATTTGCAACGGAACTTTCTGCAAAATTCTTGAAGGAAATGTTATGAAATGTTTTTTCCTTCCCTGTAAATTGTGTATAAATGGACATAGCAACTTTTCACTCTAAGCTAGCGATATGAATGCCAACACTACACTATAACTTTGTCCTCCAAAAATTAAAATTTCTTTTAGAAATATACCATTGTTACTCTGCTGTTGAATGCTGTTGAACAGTGTTTTTATATAGATAACTTTTTTTTTGATCTCAATTGCTTTCTCTTGCACAAAATAAATGTTTGTGTAAAGCAAATAAAATATGTACATAAAAAGAAGCAAATTCTGTTAAACAAATTAAAAAAAAAACTTATTGGACTTTGCACCAGAGAAAGGAATAAAAGTTGACCAATAATTATAGTAAGATAACAATTTTTCCAGTCATCTATAATTATTATTCAATGACTTATATTATAAAAGTCTTTCATAACAATTATCATTGAGATAAATATATTTAAGTCTTCAAATACTTTTATTTTCAGACTTATATTATAAAAGTTTTTTCATAATAATTATGATTGAGATAAATATTTTTAAGTCTTCAAAGACTTTTATTTTGAGATTTATATTATACAAGTCTTTCATAATAATTGCAAAGCTTTTCTCGTTTTTTTTGGGAGCCCATCCTAGTAAAACATGTTTTAAAACTTACTAGTTTTTCTTAAAAAGATTAAGTACCATTCGTCTAAAATCAAAAATGATGTAGTATTATTATTTCTGTGCAAAAAAAGTCATTTGTGTCCCATTTTTTTTTTTAAGTACCAAAACATCTTAATTCAACTTGAACTGACGCTCGTTCATCCTACCTTTCTCTTGTATCCTTTGAAGGAGTTTATTAGCAAAGAAATTAATAGGGTGAGAAAATACATTTCCAGTGATACCTCACAAGTCTAAATCGAAATACATAGTTTAGGTTCAGTTATTAAATTTTTCCTTATACCAATCTTTGAAAAAATTTATCAAACATTATCAATAATCTCATTANTAGGTTCAGTTATTAAATTTTTCCTTATACCAATCTTTGAAAAAATTTATAAAACATTATCAATAATCTCATTATTACGATTCCGTTGAAAATTTTTTTTAAATATTTTTATGCAGATTTTTTTAAGCTTAAACCGTTTTGTCATTTGAGGGGATTTTTTCAAAAAAGTCTAAGGAACTATTGGATTCATTAAAATCTCCATTTTAGGAGGTACTTTCAAGTCGGTCCAGCTCACGTAAATCTTAATATTTTTCGGAAATATTTTGGTAGACGTCTTAAAATATAATAGATTTCATAATTCCAATGAAAAAACACGTTTTTTCTTTAAATGGGGAGTGATGCAGTCTTATATACATATGTACATACATACATAGCTTGCAAAATAAAATCTTTTCGTTAGAGAAAGAACTTTGAAACATAAAATTTTAAGTCCCATGAATTTATTTATCTGTCAACCAAAATTCTAAATATAATACATATTTCAAAATGATTTTTAGACGCCGCATTTATAGCATCATGTCGGATAAAGAAACTTCAAAATCCAACAAAAATGACGATACGCCCGCAGAAGGTAGCCCCGAAAATACGATATCAGATTGCACCAAAAAAAATGACATGACACAAAATGCTGCGGTGGAATCAGATACTTTAGTTATTGCCACATATGTTGATAATGACGAAGGTGATTCTGCTGGCAGTGGTGGTGTAGTTGATATTTCTAGTGCGGCGCAAAATGAACCCAGCGATATAGATCAGCTGTTGTCCATTGTGCGTTTATGCGATGGTCCCTCGACAAGTACACAAGAGCCCAGTGATGAATTGCATAAAACAAAAACTTCCACATGTGTAAGCAATGTAATAACCAACATAGCACCACCTTCTGTTCAGAGTGTTACAGCAACAGCACCGACAATTAAGGAAACAACAAATTCGTCAGCTTTGACAGTAGCTATTGATTGTGATGAATTGCCATACACCACAAGTACCAGTTCAAATTCCAAAACACAGTCATCACAGCAATCTCCCAAGCCAACAATTTCAGTAAAATGCTTCAGCCCAATGTTAAGAGTCCAAACAATGCAAAATGAGACATTGTCATCACCAAATGTTTGCGTCGTTACGGAACGACGAAAGGAAAATTCGGAAAGTGATAATGTGGCTGGTCCACAAATGCAAAGTTCAAACGATGATAATCCAATTTGTCTGCCAGCAGTAGCAGACTTGGATGGAGGGACACGTGCAGCAATGCCGGAAGTTACAATTGAGGAGCTTACGTCGGCGTCGGAATCGCGAGCGCCATCACCTGCCAATTCCAGCGTTACCAGTGTGTCAACACTTCGGGCATCAAGAAGTGCGATTGGTCGCCGTGTTGTATGCTTGCGTCATATTCGACGCGCACCCAAAGAACCAGAGGAGTACATGGATGCATTGTTTCCGCATATACGCGAGGCACATAACCAAATACGCAAGACGCTATTACATGCGCCGCTCACTGATGTCAAGGATAATGCATTATTAAAGCGTAAAATGTTTGAGGTCATTCGACACTATATCAGGTATAACGCGGCTGCATTTATAAGTTTTGAAGGTTTTACAACTTTATGTGGTATATTTCTCTTTTCAGTGGTTGTAAAAATGAGTTTGAACGAGTTACAGCTTCGTTAATATTGTGCCGCCGGCTAAAGCGAAATATTATACGTCTGTTGGATTTGTTCCATGATATTTGTTCGTCTAGTAGAGAGGTACAAAAAAAAAAATGATGGTACCATGACCACTACTTAATAATTGTAATATTACTATTTTTTCACTTCAGGATCCTGCTTATTTGTATCACATAAGTCAATTGATTGCAGTGTACAACTCGCTCGAAATAAAATTATCATCCAATTTGACAAGATTACAGAAGTGCGCTTTAATCCATCGTATAGCCCACATTATAAATAAGCACCTATTGGTGAAGGATGAAGTAAGCACACAATTATTTTAATTAAACTTCGCTTTTATTGATTATTATAACTTTTATATTTAACCTAGTCGTTGGCCAAGGAAAATGTACTCAGAATGTTTCTACATATGCCCGATATGTATTCGGCACGTTTTATAATGGAACCACTTTTTAAGTATGTCACTACTGGTCACATACNTCTACATATGCCCGATATGTATTCGGCACGTTTTATAATGGAACCACTTTTTAAGTATGTCACTATTGATCACATTTATATTGCACAATTCAATACCATTTCATTTAATTTTCGTTTATCCTCACAGCACCTTTTTAGCGGAAATTCCAACAAGCAACAATGCGCGGTGTCAAAGAGAATTGTCGGATAAGAAATTTGTACAATATATTATAGTATTGCATCTATGGAAGGAAATGCTGCGAAATCCTCTTGAGCAGGTTGAATTAATTAACCGCGCACAGCATTTTATGTGTCCCACTAAAACGTTGCATACGAATCCCATGTATGTTAATCACTTGCCAACAATTCACACACGCAAACATGCTGTGAAAGATATTTTGAATAGCTTAAAATATTTTCACGATTTAAAAAATGTAAGTTGATAGTATGGTTTATAATCACTATTTAAACTATAATCTTAAATTTGAAGTTCATCTTATTTTTACATTTTATTACTCCCACTTTCAGGCCGCAATTTGTGATGATACTTTGGAAGATGGGGATGGCGACATTGAAGTCGTTATTGTGAGTATCAAATAAAATATATTATTAAATATATAATATATTAATATATATTAATAAATTATAGTATTTCATATTAGCTATCCGGTAAAGCGGTGTCGCGCTCGAAATATTAAAGCCATTATCCACTACGGATTATGCATGTTAATTTAAAAACACTTTGGTCTGGAGTCGAATGCTTCACTAAAGGCGGACCTCCATAGCATGCGTATCCGTATGCGTGCGTTTGACATTTACGCTTAGAAATCAAAATTCATACAATTTTCTTACATTTACATGCGTTGCTATGTAGGTGCACGCATGCGTATACGCATGCTATGGAGATCCGCCTTAACAGGCTAACCTAATTCACGCACGTCGCCAATTTATTGCCAAAAATTTCTCATGCGCATACAACTTGTATGGGACCAACCGAAATTGAACGGCGTGCCTATGAAGCTAACTCAATTTGCAATTTTTTTCTGAGTGACATTTAGATTTGATTCGCTCAATGAAATCAAATGCAAACGCACGCAAGCCAATTTCGGGTGTCGTAAAAAAATAAATTCTCGGCGTGCGTTCCAAAACGCAACATTTGTAGACCTCTATACTTCTGTACTTTACGTGCAACCGGACTTCCGTTAAAGCTAAAACGGACGGCAGCGTTTGTTCGGATTAATTCGGGTTTAATCCGGGTCAACTGCAGTTAATTCCCGAGTTGATCCGGATCAACGCTGTCGTCTCTTTATACTTTTACGGATCAACATCTGTAAAATGCACCACCAACGTCCGTAACACAAAAAAAACTCGGGTAACTCGTAGCCTTTTCCCGACCAAGGGCTGTTTTTTCGGCGATCTAACCCCGTTTAGGGTTGTACGTCCATAGGTTACTTCTTCTTCGCATACTTCTGTTCAGGGCTGGCATTGAGTCAAACCCTGGACCAGAAACATATACCTGCTGCAACGGTGTGTAAGTCCAGGATACTCCGTAATGTAACATCGGTCTAGTACAACAACTGCCTTAGCTGGTGTCACTTTAGGGCATGCTCAAGACTGCGCACCACGCGAGATTGGACGAGGGACTATGCTGTGCTGCTCGGTCGCAACCCCCAACTGCGACGCCGCCCACTGACACCATAGGGCAACAGCCTCAGCAGCAGCAAGCACAGCATGTGGCGGCACTGCAACACACATCACTAACATCCCACATTCCAATAAGTCTCCCTAGTCACACGAAGATGTTACAATTCAACTGTAACGGACTTCAGAGCAAGATTAATAGCTGCGGTCCAAGAGATGAAGCTGCACGGAAATTTAACACTGTTGAATTGCGCCGGATACAACGTGCACCGTCGAGATCGCGAGCAAGATAATGGTGGTGGCCTAGCATTCAACATGCACCGCACAGTGCAGTATCGTCTTATTGAAGCAGACATAGACCGCAGGGATACCATCCCTAATTTCAGGGAATTGCTATCCGGTCAGGCGATGTTGAGTTCGAAATATTTAACGTATATATACCCCCTGCCACCAGCTGCCCGGCAGGATATCACCCTGAAATAGATGCGCTCCTCAGAGATGAAAACCGTATGGTAGTTGGTGACTTCAATGCGCACCGCGATCTTTGGCATTCAAGCCTGTCAAACGATCGTAGGGGAACACAATTGGCTGAGCAGATAGACGATTCGACATTTTGCACAATGAACGACGACGCACCCACCAGGATTATGGGCAGCTGCTGCAGCTCGCCAGACTTAACAATAGTCAGCGCTTGTCCGATCGTGCTGACTTTAATCTGCCCATAATCATCTCGATTGATAAACTAACTGACTTTGCTACCGCGGATCACCGGACCTATGTCAACTTTTCTAAAGCTGATTGGAAAGGCTTCGCGGATGTTACTGAAAGTGCACCCACACCAACCGACGTTCACCTAGGTGAGCGTAAATTCCGCAGGGTTGTCACTGCTTCTGCAGCCCGCTTCATCCTAGCGAGATGCATCTCGGACCCTCTTCCGAGTTTTCCTGCTGATGCGGCTGTCCTATCCGATGAGCGCGACAACCGTCGTCAGGCCGATCCCGGAAATCCTCGTATTAGGGATCTCAACTCGGAGATTCGGCAACTTGTGAACGTACATAGGCGGAAGAAGTGGGAAGAGCATCTGAAGACCTGCAACTTCGCCTCTGGTGTGAGTAAGCTTTGGTCAACCGTGAAGTCATTGTCCAACCCGACAAAGCGTGACGACAGAGTTAAAATAGACTTTGATGAACACGCTTCGTCGGACCCGGAGCGGTGCGCGAGCTATTTTAGCCGGCAGTTCATACTGCATCCTCCGGTGGATAAAGCCAAGCATCGAGTGACCAGAAGGCTGCACAAACTGCCAAAACCTAGTACGCCTCTTGTTTTCGCCAGCGTCGAGGGTCCTACGGGAGTAGTACGGATGTCCTCAATTGTCAATGGCCTCTCTCGTCATTCCAGACATCTGGAAGATGGGGAGAGTTGTCCCACTGCTCAAACCGGGGAAACCAGCCAACAAAGTTGTCCCATAACCCTCCTTTCCCCGACACTAGAGGCCTTGCTACTCCCGTAATTTACAAACCACCTGCCCCCAGCGAAGCATCAGCATGGATTCCGTAAAGTGCACAGTACAAAACAGCACATAACGCCATAAGTACCCAGATAACTCGTGAGCTAAACCGAAAGCGCCCTGTGAGAGAACCATTCTAGTAGCGCTAGACCTGTCTAAGGCGTTCAACACTGTCAGTCATTCAACGCTACTAGAAGACTAGAGGCCTCCTTTCTCCCACAGGGACTCAAACGGTGGTCGGCGAATTATCTGAGTTGTCGTCACTCGTCAGTAACTTTTAGAGACAAATCGTGCAAACCGAGGAAAATAAAACAGAGGGTTCCACAGGGTGGTGTCCTTTCCCCATTACTGTTTAACTTTTACATTTCAAAGCTCCCTCAACCACCTGAGCTAGTCTCGATAGTCTCTTATGCTGACGATTGCTACATCATGGTGTCCGCGAATGGAATTAATGACTTGTGCTCGAAAGTAAACGGTTATTTCGCCGAGCTTTCTCGCTTCTTTACTGCACGGAGCCTAACCCTCTCCCCTTCAAAATCCTCTGCCACACTTTTTACCACCTGGACGAAGGAGGCCAGACCCCAACTGGGAATTCACGTCGATGATACACCAATTCCGACGGTGAACAACCCGAAGATACTCGGACTAACATTCGGTAGTCTGCTCTCCTTCTCGACGCATACGACCGCAATTGTTAACAAAGTACAAAACCGCAACAATGTCCTCAAGTCGCTAGCCTGCAACACCTGGGGCAGAGACAAAGAAACGTTGCTGGCAACGTACAAGGAAATTGGCCGGCCGGTTCNCTCAAACCGGGGAAACCAGCCAACAAAGTTGTCCCATAACCCTCCTTTCCCCGACACTAGAGGCCTTGCTACTCCCGTAATTTACAAACCACCTGCCCCCAGCGAAGCATCAGCATGGATTCCGTAAAGTGCACAGTACAAAACAGCACATAACGCCATAAATACCCAGATAACTCGTGAGCTAAACCGAAAGCGCCCTGTGAGAGAACCATTCTAGTAGCGCTAGACCTGTCTAAGGCGTTCAACAGTGTCAGTCATTCAACGCTACTAGAAGACTAGAGGCCTCCTTTCTCCCACAGGGACTCAAACGGTGGTCGGCGAATTATCTGAGTTGTCGTCACTCGTCAGTAACTTTTAGAGACAAATCGTGCAAACCGAGGAAAATAAAACAGAGGGTTCCACAGGGTGGTGTCCTTTCCCCATTACTGTTTAACTTTTACATTTCAAAGCTCCCTCAACCACCTGAGCTAGTCTCGATAGTCTCTTATGCTGACGATTGCTACATCATGGTGTCCGCGAATGGAATTAATGACTTGTGCTCGAAAGTAAACGGTTATTTCGCCGAGCTTTCTCGCTTCTTTACTGCACGGAGCCTAACCCTCTCCCCTTCAAAATCCTCTGCCACACTTTTTACCACCTGGACGAAGGAGGCCAGACCCCAACTGGGAATTCACGTCGATGATACACCAATTCCGACGGTGAACAACCCGAAGATACTCGGACTAACATTCGGTAGTCTGCTCTCCTTCTCGACGCATACAACCGCAATTGTTAACAAAGTACAAAACCGCAACAATGTCCTCAAGTCGCTAGCCTGCAACACCTGGGGCAGAGACAAAGAAACGTTGCTGGCAACGTACAAGGAAATTGACCTACGCTGCGCCCGTGTGGTCACCGGGGACTAGTAGGACGCAGCGGATGAAGCTGCAGGACAGCGACAGGATGCTTTTTTATGTCGCCGCAACACCACCTGCACGAGGAGGCCCACATGCCCCCTATTAAGGAGCATAACAGCATGCTCTGCAAGCAGTTCCTGGTTGGGAGCCACAGATGTGGTCACCCAAACAAACTACTCGTTGCAGATCAGCCTTCGGCCAGGCACATCAGGAGGCATCTCTACGAACTGACGGACGAAGTCCAGAGGTTCATCAAACAACCTTTGGACCCGAAAGGTTATCGACAGGCCTTGAACGGCATTCACAGAGAGGCAGTCTCGAGTTATGTAGACTCCCTACCTGTGAATGCCGTTCTGGGCCCTCAATCCCCAGACGTGGACGAGACAGAACTTGGGAGAATCGGACCACAATAGCCCAACTGCTCTCTGGTTATTGCAGCAGGTTGAACTCATACCTGAGCAGATTAAACGAAGATGTTCTCAATGAATGCCCGGCATGTGGAGAGTCGCCCCATGACTCACAGCATCTTTTCGTATGCCCTCTGATCCCACCACGCTAACGCTCCTGTCCCTATGGACAGACCCCGTCGAGGCTGCACGCTTCCTAGGGCTGCCGTTAGTAGAGCTTGACGACAACGATTGAGGGACTAACCAATCTGGGCGGGGTTGTCGTAGCCGTTACAACAACAACAATATCCACTCTGGAATAATTACCATAACACCCTTAACTCCTTATCTATACTCAACTCCGACAAACCCAAATATGTCCGGCTTGTTAAGGCACCCCACAAGACATCATCTATGTGTGTATCTACTAGAGAGCTACACGATTATATAAAAAGGTAATACGTTAATAATTAGCGATGCCGATTTAGAATCGCCGCATCGTTGGCATCGTCAAGATAGTAACATGTTAGTAAAAGCTTAAACAAACGGCAGCGTTGATCTGGATTAACTCGGAGTTATTCCGTCGGCCGCTGTGGTGTAGTGGTAAGCAGTGCGCGCTTCCACTCCGCAACGCCTGGGTTCAAGCCCTGGTCAAAGCAACATCGCAAAAAATATATAGAAAAAATGTTTTTTCTTAACAGCGGTCGTCCCTCGGCAGGCAATGGCAAACCTCCGAGCGTACTTCTGCCAAGAAAAACAGCTTCTCACAAAAATACGCCGTTCGGAGTCGGCGTAAAACTGTACGTCCCTCCGCTTTGTGTGACAACCTTTTACTTGCGGAAGTTTCCCAACGTAGTTTATCTGTTTAAATAAACACCACTAGTATTTCCTGCAAACACACATCGATTTACATCTTTTATCTCGCCTCCGACACAGAATTGTTTTCGTACAAAATTACGCAAGAATGCTTACTCGTTCGTTTTTAGGCATGCCATTGTTACGAATTTCGAAAGTTCGAAAATACGATCCGGATTGCAGCATCCCAGCCAGCAAAAAAGCCGAAAACCGATCCGAAAAAGGACAAAAAAGTGGATGAAGTGCCGATTTTTGTCCGTTTACTGATTCCATTTCCGGATACTTTGACGATCCGTTTTCTCACTAAAGTGTGCAGCAGAAACGTACTTACAGACAGCAGTATGTAAAATGGATACGTTTTTTCTGAAATTTGTCTGATAGAATTTTTCGTTCAATACGCTTTCCTTCTGCACTTCACAGATACTTTTTCATGGTTCAAAAGAATTAAATTAAAATTAGGAAGCGCCTGACGGAATTCGAACCCGGCACCTTCTGCCACTGCCGACAACGCATGTATGCTTTCAAATGTTTAGCTTAAGCGAATAAAATACAATTATTGCTTTCAAATGACATCATCTTTTTCGAACGTTTTCCGGATACGAAAATTGATGATAACTGTAGGAGTTTTTTGTATGCGTTTTAGGATACGGAAAATTGAGCTAAACTGCACTGTTTCCGGATACGAAAATTTATGATAACTGTAGGAGTTTTTTGTATGCGTTTTCGGATACGGAAAATTGAACTAAACTGCACTGTCGGCAAAATTTACGTTTCATTGCTGGCTGGGATACTACTGGTATGATTCGTAGCAAAATCCGAATACGAAAGAGTTGCAGATGTAGGGATGTAAGTTAAAATCTTTTTCGTCAAGTTCCTTTCGGAGATCTTCCTTAATGTGACCGATTGTTGTAAGAGTAATTTTTAGTTAGTTAGTTAGTTAGTTTAGTTGGTATAATTCCATAGTCTACAGTTTACAGCGAGTCCCTTGGTGTTCTAGTTGTGTTGTTTAATGAGGTAGCAGGTGTCCTTATTATATTTATATCTGATGTTTTGGAAAAAGTGCATCATTTTGAGTTAAAATCTTATGTTTTCTTGTACTTTGTCTCGGTTTATCTCTCCGATAAATAATGCTTGTTTTTAAGTTGGGCCAATGCATACAGAATTGTTTGTATTGTATATTTGGAGCTTTTCGGCCGTTGAATTCAAAGCGAAGCGCGTAGGAGGCAGAAAAGAAAAACCAACGTTTTTGCTTTAAATTCGACGACCGAAAAGCTCCACTAACAATTTACTATTTTTCTTTTGTTTATTTAATATTTCTTATTGTTTTATAAAGTATAGCTCATTATCTAACAAAAACGGTATAAATTTATATTTCAAACTTTGTGCAAGAATTATAAAAACTCTACAAAATTGCATCTACATTTTCAACTTTTTAATCAGATTTTGCAGAATATTTTTGAATATGCAGTTTTATAGTGTTTTTGATCATCTTTTCCGAAAGTATTTTGATAATCTTTTCCGAAAGTATTACCGCATTTTTTTCATACAAAAAAAGAGAGATAAAAAATTGTCGAACCTACTTTGTATGGAAGAAAACGCGTGAAAAAATTGCAGAAAATCACCGCGATTGTTAGAAACTTAAAACTTACACTTTATTTTACTAAAATTTAATGGGCTATAAAGCTGCATACCCAAAAATATTCGGCAAAATCTGATCAAAAGTTGAAAATTTAGATGCAACTTTGCAGAATTTTTATAATTGCACAAAGTTTGAAATATGAATTTATATGGTTTTTGTTAGATAATACGGTGTATTTTTATAAAAGAATAGGGAATATCAAAAGAAAAATTGGCAAAATTTGTTAGTGTTCCTTTGAACCCCATTCATTTCCATTCGATTACTATCGAAACGGCGCGTTTCCTGTTACCCTAAAGTGAGCTTTACGTCCACTAGCCGCTTTAGGCAGGAATTAGTCATGCCGTTCCAATAACAAAAACAATACTTTTACATTTTAATCCTCGCAATGATGTTCAAGTAAAAGGTCTGATGCTTAAGATAAACATCTTAGTGGAAGCAATTGTGTGCAGTTAGTCGCCACCACTGTTTTTTCACTTTGATTGTTTCCTTAAGTAAATGACTAAAACAATAACTGAGATGGCAGCACCGAAAGCAAATTATTCTTCTCAAAAAAGCATATTTTTTAATTATAATTTTATTTTAAACTTACAGGATGACGTTATAAATGCAACACCACTTTGGGATTTTGGTGCCACATACGCAGCTGAATTGAAGCATCGAAAGCGTTTAAATCGACGCGCCGTCACACAGGAGCCGCTTGAGTGTGTCGATCTTACTCTTGAAGATGAGCAACCGTCTAGAATGACGTACGTGGAGCATTCTTTAGATTGGCTTACAGATTTGAAAGAGAGAGCATCCGAGAGAGTGCAGGCAGACGAGACCGAAATGGTTATTTGCTTGGACTCAGACTCAGACGGAGAATTGTTTTCGGGCAGCATTTTAGATCCAACAGAATCTTATCAAGATTGTGACGCTGTCGATACTGACTACACAAGCTTGGATAGCAGCACTACGGATGATAAGGCTGCATCGGAAGATGATGCTCTGGCCGCAAGCGGGATTACCCCAAATGGCCTTAGAACTTATCTAGCGCCAAAATCTAAAAAGCAATTTAATTCAAGTGATGAAAAGCACACCACAAGTAGACAATCCCCTTACGTGAAAACAACGAACGATTACGGGGAGGATGAGTCTGAGTCTGAGGGTGAAGGTGGTAATGTTACTGCTAGTAANCGTGAAAACAACGAACGATTACGGGGAGGATGAGTCTGAGTCTGAGGGTGCAGGTGAAGGTGGTAATGTTACTGCTAGTAGAAAGCCGTCAACATCAGCCGCCGCGTCATTGCCGCTTATTGTTAACACTTTCACCGTTAATGGCAAGCAAAATATGCACTTGTTAAACTCACCAAGATTTAGCCTTGATATTGGCCCGGAGCGTTTTGGGAATGAGGATATGGAGTTTCATGATACTTGTGAGGGTAAAGTCATCTATTCCCAAGCTTTATCTCCATCTAACCGTAGATTGTTAATGGAAGATAATGTAAGTGGACCAAGAGATATGCGTCGTGAATTCGAAGCGCAAGATAATCCACGAGTCAGCGAGTGTGGCTCAAAGCAGTTGGTAAGTTTCATGATTTGCATTCACTTGCACTTTACCTATGATTTAGGGCAAATATTCACTAATTATTGCTTCAATATTTTAGCGTTTAAATGCCGATGACAAGCCAGTGAAAAAACAAGTAAAGTTCAACGATAATCCTATTGGACCCACGCGTCGTCTAAATACCAAATTGCCGATAAAACCAGCTATACATCTTGGCAAAACACAAACCACCATTCAACAACCTGCTTTCCCCAATTCACCACAACCACGTTTTACATCACCGTCATCTTCAACTTCTTCCACAACTGAGTCACTTAAACAAATGGCGCAAAAAGGTAGGAGAATTGTTGACAGTTTTAAAGTACAGAAATCTAAAATCTTACCTGAAAATACATCTCCAATTATAATTGATTCCGATGATGACAATGATACAATTGAAGTTAGTGCTTGTGCAAGTACAACAAAAAGTAACTTAACAGTTTCTACTCAACCAATTCAGAGTAAAAAACCCCATGAAAAAGAAATATCAAATCAATATTTATCAGTTCTTAAAAGCAACATTTGTAACAATCCAAAGTGTAAAATGAAAGCGCGTTATGTTTCACACCGCTCTAAATCCATTCATGGGCCAAAAGATATTTCATCAACCAATTATGTATGTAATAGAAATATTGAGTTTATACATATATCCGATGATAGCGATGATGATAATGATAGTATTGTATGCAATAATATGAAAAGCTTTGAAGTTGGCAAACAAGTTGAAATGGAAGAACAAAATTCGAATGTTTCAACAACTACAGGGCCTAGTTTAGAGTCGAATGCCGCAGATGAACATAAAGCAGCAGCGGTTACTGAAATGTCTAATAGAAAACAAATGCTCGTTATGGTAGAAAGTACAAGTTCACAAATTTATAGGGCAACTTCTCTTGAAAACAATGTGGGGAACGATATTTGTACAAGTAGCACAGAGACACTGTTACAGGAAACCGAATTGGAGTATAGTGTTTCGTCACCAAACATCGTCGATTCGCAGTTTGATTTAGCCAAGGAAACAGATTTGCATCAAATGAGCTCAGCTTCTGAACTCGATTGCGTAGCTGTTAAAGGGGATGTTGCAGATCCATTTTTAACCGCTAAGAAAAATGATAAGACTGAATTAGGCCAGGCGGAAACTAATGTGAAGAAATACACAGGCGGCGAGGCAAAAGAAAATGAGTGTAACGAACTTGTAGGTGTCGTGTGGGATAGAAATATTTTGAATAAAAGAAAAAGTGCACTCGCGAGTGATTTCAAAGTCAGTGTTAATATTAAGCAAACTCTAAGTGAAGAAGTGAAAATAAATGCGAATGTCGTAGAAAATTGTATCAATACTAACGCTTGTAAAGTGCACACGTCAGAGGGAGGCGTGGAACAACTTAATGAGTTGGATTGTGAAACGTTGGTGTCGATATGCTCAGAACAGCACCCAGCAGATATGCAAGTTGAGAAAAGCAATGCTGATACGCAGGAGCGGCGGTTAACCGAAACGGAAGAATTGATCGTGAAAAATGTAAAAGTCGTATCTCAAAAACTAACAAACCAATTAAGTGAAGGAACTGGCGAAAACTCGGTTATCGAAAGAATTGAAGATGATAGCGCACGTATGAACGTAGAACAGCGCAGCTCTACTCCAGGTTTGGAAGACCCAAGTGAACTTTTATTAGAGTCTAAATTAGCACATTCAGAACAACCGTCAATAAGAGAAGAGGAAGAAAAATCATATTCGAATTCAATTTCATCAGCAACGCATCAAGGAGAAGCAGAAAAAAATGAAGAGCTCGAGCTCACAAAATCGCAAGTAGGTTCGAGTACGTCAGCATCTACACCGCATCAAGGGGAAGCAATAGAAACTGAAGAGAGAGTGAAATCGTCTGTAGAGTTAAGTACACCAGCTTTGCACCAAACAGAAGCAAAAGAAAATGAAAAGTCATCAAAATCATCTTCACATTCGATTATATCAGCGACTCCTTCACACATCCAAGCAGCATCGGATAAAATAGAAGTACAAACAAACAAAGAGCCCAAAAAGGGTGTTGAAAATACAGACATAATAACGGAGATTATAAAAAAACCAGGCAGCATTCATGATTTAAGTACTGTTATCACAGAAGATATTGCGCCAATTTTCGAAAGCGTCAAGAATGCCGAAGAGACAGCGTTAGTGGGCTTAGATGTATGTACTAGCGAAATAGATTCAAAAAAGAAGCATATAACACAAGCAAATCAGAATATTCGTGTTGGTCAAAAAACAAATGATATGACTGCTACCAAGACAAGTGATGCAGATGCAAATGTGTCTTACGAAACGTTAAGCAAGTCTACTGAACATGTAAATACTAAACAATTGCCTTTCAGTGATAAAACACTCAATTTAGAGGGATGTTCCACTAAAGCTCAAATAAAATTGACTGAAGCTGAAAAGGATGTAGACGAGATAGAGATCGAGAGCTCAGCAAATCGGGAAACATGTGAGGATTTAGAAAACTCGTCAACTGAAAAATCTAGTACTGCTGTTGTAGCTGATATAAATGAGGGAACGCCAGGTGACCAAAAAACAACATATCAAGCTCTTTTTATTGAAAATGTTGCAAATTCAACGGAAACTGTACAAGTGGAGAGCGTCACATTGGATGAAGAAGTAACCAAAATAACAAATTGCACTACTAGTACTGAAGAAATAAGTGAACAAAATTCTAAGCGTGCTGAAATGGAAGACAATGCGATGATAGATACTATTGCCGTCAATCTGGGGTCAGTAATCGAAATTGTAAAACCGAATTTATATGCTAACCAAACCGCCAATAACTCAATGGCATCAAATGCAGTGTCTTCCGAAAACACAATCATAGCTGATAACAAGGAAATAGAATTATCCGTTATACCTATGGTTTCGGAAAAAGGACCCAAAAGTGATGTACATAGAGAAGCAATCCCCTCCAGCGCTGTTAAAGGTTCCAATGATGGTCTCGTGCGATTAGTTGCCGCTGTAAAAGCTGTGGAATCTCTTAATTTGATTAGTAATGAAGGGGTCGCAATTGTAGACAGTAACGATTTCAACGCTAGTCAAGGGTCTGTCGCCAATACAACTTTAATAAGCTGCGAGAACTCGCCAACTGTTGTCGACTCTAGTCTACACGAATTGGTTGTTGTGGCAACTACTGAAAATCCTGCCGAAACAGAATCAGCTAGTTTTGATAAAAGTGAAAAGGCGTCAGTCGGAAATGCGGCGAGTGTTATTGTTAACTCTGTTGAAGGCGACGCCACACCACAGGTTTCCATAATAGTTTCTCAAACAGAATCCATTACCACGCAAACTGAGTCAAAACTGACGGGCATTTTACTCTGTGGTGACAAAAGTCCCAAAACTAATTTAGAGCGCCTAGCTGAAGCGGTCTTACTTACCGAGGCCGCTGCGCAGAAATACAGTGGTATTGTGACTAAGCCGGGGCTAATACAAACCGAAAATGAGTACAATCAATCGAACGCGGAAGTTTGCACTGCGGAAAATTTCGAGATTCCCAAACATACAACTCATGATGGTGAGCGGTGTATTGAAGAAAATGGGTTACCAACTGATTGTTCGACCATTGAAAATATATGTGGAGTTGAATCCGCTGTGANAAGGGTCTGTCGCCAATACAACTTTAATAAGCTGCGAGAACTCGCCAACTGTTGTCGACTCTAGTCTACACGAATTGGTTGTTGTGGCAACTACTGAAAATCCTGCCGAAACAGAATCAGCTAGTTTTGATAAAAGTGAAAAGGCGTCAGTCGGAAATGCGGCGAGTATTATTGTTAACTCGGTTGAAGGCGACGCCACACCACAGGTTTCCATAATAGTTTCTCAAACAGAATCCATTACCACGCAAACTGAGTCAAAACTGACGGGCATTTTACTCTGTGGTGACAAAAGTCCCAAAACTAATTTAGAGCGCCTAGCTGAAGCGGTCTTACTTACCGAGGCCGCTGCGCAGAAATACAGTGGTATTGTGACTAAGCCGGGGCTAATACAAACCGAAAATGAGTACAATCAATCGAACGCGGAAGTTTGCACTGCGGAAAATTTCGAGATTCCCAAACATACAACTCATGATGGTGAGCGGTGTATTGAAGAAAATGGGTTACCAACTGATTGTTCGACCATTGAAAATATATGTGGAGTTGAATCCGCTGTGAATTCCTGTGAAATAAAACGAATCACTAATGATGACATTTCGAACGTGCAACAAAAATCGATTATGGTTACGAAGTCAAAACGAGCTGTTGGTGCAATAAGTCAAAAAGATATCAGCGATAAAACAATTATCCTTGGTTTATCTGCCAGTCACGATTCTTCGAATGTAGTCGTAGACATTCCTGAATCGCTACAAGCAGTTGCGCCGCTTAAAATACCGCCGGTCGCTTTCGCCGAGCAACTCGCCTCAGATGATAATGAAAGTCTCGATCATGTAACGCACATCGACTATGATATGCACGTAATCAAAGCGTTTAATGACTTTAAACCCATCAAGGGCTTAGTCACCAAAACTGCTCCTAATGATGCGGGTATTTTGTCAATCGAAGAAATATCAAAAACTTCAGCAGTAGCAGTAACTGAGGAAATACTTATAAAACAAGAACCAACAGCAAAACCGCAAAATCAAACTGTGGATTTTGACACAATTACGTCCCAGAATATAGGAATCGTTCCCTCAAAAACAGCGCCAGAAAACCCGCCCTTATCGCATAAAACCAATCCAACTTTTCATTCGTCCTTTGAAAATTTCATAAGTTCACTTAAAGCACAAAGTGAGTTAAAGTTGCCGCGTAAATCGCCCAGAATTACAAGTAAGACTGCAAAAGCTACGGAAGAAGCGAGCAATTTACCCGCTAAGAGTAAAAAAATTATTTTGCTAACTATGCCACCCACTTCCGAACGGTTGANTAAAGCACAAAGTGAGTTAAAGTTGCCGCGTAAATCGCCCAGAATTACAAATAAGACTGCAAAAGCTACAGAAGTAGCGAGCAATTCACCCCCTAAGAGTAAAAAAATTATTTTGCTAACTATGCCACCCACTTCCGAACGGTTGGCAGCAAAAAATTTGGCACCCACTACGCCACAGACCGCTGAACTATCTGCCACATCAGATATTGAGCTCGGCAGCATTGACACGAACGAATGTGCATCGAAGAAAAGGTATAGTCTGCGTAGAAGCGAACAATGGAAAGTAGTAAAAAATACGAGTGTACCAGTCTCACCGCCATCCAAAACCACTAACAGTGTGGATACCAAAAAGCCTATAACGCGTGCGTTGTCCAAGCGCTGCATAAAAATACGATTGGCTAGGGCTAAAGCGCCCACAAAAGCAGAGAAAAAAGCACTTCACCCCATGGCAGATAAGGCTGTTCAAAGTATAGAAGCGCAATTTGGTGACGTATCGCATCGTCCAATAACCAGAAAATTAGCGGCCGCGCTCAATTCTAGTCTACAAATGGAAACAGAAAATGCGGTTATCGAACCGATCAAACCGTTTCCCTCGCGTGGCAGAAAATCTAAACCAAAACAGGAAACACTGGACGACCAGTCGCCCACCAAGCGCAAGCGATGTGAAATTGTAACAAAAAGTTTGAGTAACAAAAGAGTAATTGAGTCAGTAATTACTGAAACAGAGCTATTAAAGACTGACACACCTGTTGAGACGCAGAGAAAGCGAAAGGATTGTGATGTGGAAGCAACGCTGGAAAAGGAGGCCCCAAAGTCAGATGGAATGCAAGAAATAACAAATGATTCTGTTCCTGCTGAATTGGAGGGATACCAAAAGCGCGGAGAAGCTGGAACGATATTTGACGATACTGGAAGAATTCCTGAAAAGAACCCGGCAAAGCGCATGAAAGTCGAAAATGTAAAGGGAACACCATGTACAAGCAAAGTATTGGCTGTACAAGAAACGGCACAAGTACCAACTACCTTTGAGACTATCTTCATAAAAACAAATGTTTGTCCTGTTGATGTGAATGTGGCTACTACGATAGCTGACAGCAGCAATGAGGAAGTCTCACAACATAATCTTGATAAGTCTTTGGTGCAAACGAGTGAGAGATTGTCTGACGAGGGTACGATCCGACAAGAAAGCCAAGAAAACAAGAACGAGGAACCGACAAGCGATGAGAATATGAAAACTAGTGCAAGGACGGTTACAAATAGTATAACGGATTTAGAGGCGCAAGATGTGGACGTAGCGAAAACTGGCATTGAATGCAGTGCAAATAAAAGTTTGGTTGAAACCGAATCTCAAGTTGAGCAAGATTTTACGCAACGCGCCGTTGATAATTCAAACGAGAAAGTGATTGCGACACCATCGAAAGGTGTTTTGTTAGCTAAAAGCGTTGAGTCTGCGCCAATAAACTGCCGCGAGCATTCGAATTTACTTACAGAAAACAATGATGTTGCCCAGCTCGTAGATATCTCGAGTTTCCGTAGCTTATCACTAGAACAACTAACTGATGCTACTAAATGTTATTCCAAGAGTGTTTGCGATGGCTTTCAGAGTATTTCCGAATTTCCAAACCAAGATTCGACTGTCGATTTGAGCATCTCAAATATGAGCCAAATGCACGCCAAAGACGAGGACCTAAACAATACTGAGTGTATAAATATTTTAAAAGCTAATATGGAAGCTGATAACCTATTGGAAGAATATAATCATTCAGCGCGTATTATAGCAAATGCAAATTTAAAAATCCCGTTAGCTGCGCAAACACCGTCCGATGGACGCACGCCTGCATGTAGCAGTGTGACCTTTAGTTATCCCGGCAGCGACACGTCCAGTTCTTCGACGAGCAGTTGTTCGTGTAACATGACGTCTACCCCAACGGCAGCCGCAGATTTATGTAAAAATGAACCGACGAGCTTCAAAGTTGTCCAATCCCAAGCACAAGTTGTCGAACTACTTTCGAGTACGAGCGCAAGCTTTCAGGACCTATCGCTTTTAGATTTGGAACACGATGTTATTATAAGTAATGATGACTTGCTTTCCGAACTGATGCCGACCGCGATTATGGATACAATGGCTGCGACTAGTCTCGAACACAACTACGCAACAAAACCACTAGAAATGGTGATGAGAAATGAATATGACACACAATACGATCTGCAAATAAAAAGTGAATCGCCGATACTTCAGGGAGAGGAAGCGAATAATTGGCGTGACGTGGAAGTATTGGACATCAATAACGCAAAAGATCTCTATGACAGGCAGGGCGATAAGGCGCAGACTGAAAATGGTTTGGAAGATAAAAGAGTGGTTGTTGACGGGAATAATGAAAAGCCTTTGCAGACACCAAGTCTAAGAGTTTCCATACCTATTGCCTATATAAAAAAACTAGAAGAACTAATAGGTAAGCAAAAAGAATCCAAGACTTGGTATTTGTCAGAGAAACCTTCCACCTCTAAGGCGGCTTTGGAGGCGTTAGCTAGAAGAAATGCGCTGGCAAATTCTAAAGCGCTAAGTGCGATCAGTTATGTCCAAGCAGACACTGCTACGATTGATAGTTCAGCACCACGCCAATTACTCTCTCGAGAATGTTGTTGTCCCTCACCGAGTTTACCTTTAAAGAAACGAAGAAATGTTTCAGGAGTATTAGAAGAAGATTTGTTCCATACTGCAGCTCTTTTGTCAGAAGAGGATAATCTAGTGCAGGTAACGTCAGAGAGTATCATTTCAGTAACTGAAAATAAAGCTAGTGAATTGGATGAAAAAATAGATATATCCGAGTTGGATATTTGCACAAATAAGAAGTTGAATAAAAGTAGAGGCGAAAAGCTAGTACCAGATGATTTAAATACAAAATCTAAGCAATCACCAACGGCAAAAGAGGAAAACAGTGTGGAAATACAAGATAACCAACGAGAAAAAGAGAGAACGGTGCTTCAAGATTATCAACGCGACGACAACAGGGAACAAGTAACACAATCTAAACAAGCAAAATATTCGGAAACCGAAAACACAGACGATAAAGAAAACACCCAGACTATTTCATCTCAAGACGAAAAAATACCACCAACAAAGCATAGTAACATTATTGAAGGTGATGAAACGAAGGTTGAAGGTGAGAATAAAAGAAATCGCGAGGGCGATGAAGGGGAAAGCGCATGCTGTCGGGTTGAGGAGGAATCAAAATCAAAACAAGCTTGTATGCAATATGCTCAATCTGAAAATGAAGATTTGCAGCAAGCGTGTACTGAAAAAAAGGCTATAGAAGATTTAGTTCAAGACCACCAAGAGACTGTGGGATTCGAACCACAACATAAAGATAAGGCGAAAGAATGTCAAATTAAAGATATACAGCAAGAGTGCGCGGACCACAGTGGAGTTCATTCCAATCAAAAAGAGTCTGTGGGTAATAACGCAACCGAGTTGCAACAACCAACCTTTGAAGATTGCATACTGCCAGAAAATCTGATATCGGAACCCAATTTGGCGCCAAGTAAAGTTAAAACCACGGACATAAGCGTAGCTGGACATGAAGAAAATGACATTTTAACTGGAGTGCACAATGCAAATCTTGTCAAAATTTTCACTCAAAATGAAAGCGCTGAAGCTAATGAATCAACTAATCAAGAACGCAGCGAGGAAACTAAAATGTATATATCCTATGGGGCTATAGAACAAATTGACCCAGGACTTACAATGAATGAAGAAAATTACTCTGAAATCGATGCGAAAAATTTCGCAGCTGAATGTACGGATGTCGCTAAAGAGATTTCAGCTATGGAGTTGAAATCAAGCACACTTCTAGACTTAGCTGGTATGGAACAAACAACAGCTAAAGAGACGCGCTTGACAAACTATAAAAATGATGCTAGTGAAGTTGTTTTAACAAGTTATGATGATCAATTCTTGGTTACTGTTTGCTTAAATGATTCGAGTAATGCTGCGAACGATTTCGAAGAAGTTAATAGCAGCGTGTTCTCCACGAAGGAATATGGGGAGAATGATTTCGACATAGGGAATGATGTGATTATCAGCACACAGGAAATAAAAGAAGAGTCTACCGAAATTATGAGCATTAAAAGTTCACCCAAAAGCAGTCCAATGTATTTAGCAAAGCAAGTGCCTACCTTTACCACCGATGCTAATTTTAATACGGATTTCTCAAAAGCAAACGAACTTATAGATTTCATGCCAATCTTTACGAATACTGCAACTTCCACTCATTCCGATGATCTGCAATTATTAACAATTGGAAGTAATCCAAATTTTCTAAATAGCAATATAACATCCATACCACCAACCACCGACCAAATGGAACTATTTACCAGTTCAGCTGGTATTACTTCAACAACGCCGCACACTGGCATAACAACAACTGCTTTAAGTTTTAATAATATGCCGATCTTTACAGCCGCAGAGCTGGGCATAGATCAAAGCGCATCTACAAGATCAAATATGGCGGATTTAACCCAAATTAATGGGCTGGGATTTGTGGTTCCAGAAACAATGCAGACCCCACCGTTAACATCATCAGCAATCGAAATGGATTCACCGTTTGCACAGTCTCAAAGCCAATTTATGGTGGCAGACAATTGGAAAGCAAGCACCTGCGACGCCATCAACCCATCGTCAACATTAAAGATAAGCTCGAATACTTCTAAAGGTGCAAAACAAGTGCAAACGTTTGATGTGAAGTCTGCGGGCGATGTGAGTAGCGATCTAGCCACGACAACGCCAGCAATTAAAATATGCTCAACCAAACGATCAAAGTCATCGGCTAAAAATGGCGGGCGTAAGCCTGCTGTGAAAACGAATACACCGTCTACAATTCCCACAACTGCGACTGAGATGCAGCAACTCACACAGTTGTCATCTTTGTCGCCGATTTTGCCCCTAATAAAGTCCACAACTACAACTATTGGCCACACAACCAACGCAGATACTGCTCCTGTTTTTAGCTTTCCCGACATCTCAACAGAAACGGTAAATGTTTCACATGCTGCTATTACGCCCTCAAGACCCTCTGTAACCTATCAGCTCACAACACCAACGGCCAGCAGCATGACGGTTAGTTCAACAACGTCTAGTTTATCAGCACAAACCACAGCGGAAGAAAACTTAACCATCCCTCCAGCTCAAAAATCAAAGTCGCAATCTCAATCACAATCGGTGGCACGGAGTGGAACGCGTGCGCGCACACCTGCGCGTGTACAGGTCGTTACGCCCCAGCCTAAGAAGCACTCTGTCGCGCCGAAATCGGTGGAAGAAGAAAAAACGCTAGAGCCAATATTTACGAACACGACAGCAGCTTTTTGCACCACGGATTTTGGCATAAATCAGATGGCTGCTGTGTTACCTGCCTCTTACCCCACCGTACCGATGCGCAATGTCACATGTTACGCAAATCTCTTTCATTTCGAAAAGTACATACAACAATTAATGGGCCTCATCGACGTACCCTCAATCATAGAATCTGCGCGAAATTTATTTGTCGATAAACAGGCCTTAGCGGAAGCGCACGCCGCCTTGCTCGCACAAGCTACACAATTCGATGAAGAGGGCAACGCAATTTCGCAGCCACTATTGCTAAAGTATCATAAAGATGGGACTATATCCATACTTAATGACAACGATGAATGCATCATATTGACGGCGAATATGTCGAAGATGGTAAAGCGCCTTTCGCTCGCCCTAAGCATTTTACAGGAGCAGCAGTCGCCAGTGTTGGGCATACGAGCGCGTATCCATGCGCTGCTAAAACAGTTAACACAAACAGCTACGACTAAAGCTGCTACGCACACTTCTACAGCGAGCGTGATCGGTCCGTCGGCGATACCAACAGCTGTGGTGAATCCAACAAATTTAGTTGAGAATGCGCGAAACATTGAATTTAGTGTATTAAATGCCATGGAGCTATATAGCGGTGCCGGCGGGGGAGGCGCCAAACAGACTGCGCAGCAACAAGTGCACTTAAACGATACGAATGTGCAAATATACCCGAATTGGCATGAAGTTGGAGCCAGTGATGGGCAACTAACGAGCATAGATACTACGGATTTGCAAATAGCAAATGAGGAACAGTTTATAAATATAGATCCATTGCCATTGCTGGCCGATGAAGGAACAACGGGGTATGAGCATGCAGTGGCATTCGATTTTGACGAGAATCCCACAATACTCTCTTCTAGTGAAACTATAAGCGCGCAGCGTTTTGAAAATGCATTCGATGAGGCCATGGTGGGCGGTGTGGACGAGGAAAAAAGTTATAATTGGGCTGAGTCAGAGCAGAGTAGGCCAGTACAACAGTGGCAGCAGCAGCAGCAACAACAACAACAACAAAACAATCGTGGTAACGTAGAAAGACGCTGGCAAGAGCATGGTGCAACTTCGAGAAATTTCGCTTATGAGGATGCAGTTGTCAGAGGTGTGGAATGTGTAGCCACTAATAGTGCGGATGAGGTTCACGCAATGGTAATCAATAATTTAGGTGCTAAGTCCACAATTGTGAGTAGTAGTGCGCCTAGGATTGAAAGTGTAAGTGTAGCTGATAGTATGGTTCAAAGTACCGCAGCATCTAGCGGCATAATAACATCAACATGCGGGCCACAAAGGAGGGAGACGATTAAAAAGACTGGTTTTCAAAAGATTGAAGCGGATCAGGCGAGACCCACAGTTCACTGTAGTAAAAAAGTTTCAAGCCGCAAGATTGAAAAGGCTTCAAAAATTCAGCCTAATTTATCGTCCACAGCGGTGCAGAAACAGTCTAAAATGCGTAACAATTCGAAGCAAAGCAACGCAGCTGCTCAACTTAAAATTTCTGCCATCCATTATCGCTATGTGCCACCACAAACGATTGCGAATTCACCATGTAAGCAAAGCGCCACATTGCATTATAGACCGACGGCACCGCAGCAACATTCACAGNTCTGCCATCCATTATCGCTATGTGCCACCACAAACGATTGCGAATTCACCGTGTAAGCAAAGCGCCACATTGCATTATAGACCGACGGCACCGCAGCAACATTCACAGCAGCAGCAGCAACTTCGAAATGCCAACGTCAAAATGGCTCCACAATTTGTGACAAGCACTTCAAATCATTCAAAGCAGCCAGAGCGACTCAAAACCATTGATAGTGTTACAAATATACAGTTATACTCACAGCAACACCCACAAAATTCTGCACTCNGTCAAAATGGCTCCACAATTTGTGACAAGCACTTCAAATCATTCAAAGCAACCAGAGCGACTCAAAACCATTGATAGTGTTACAAATATACAGTTGTACTCACAGCAACACCCACAAAATTCGGCACTTGCAGGTGGCTTGCAACATAGCAACAATGTCAGGTTTCTATTAGCAAATCCACTGCAACAACCAAATACACACCAAAGTCAGCGTTTCGTGAGTGTGCCAAATACGCTCGCACCATTGACCAGCAATAACAACCCAACACAAGAGTTTTCGCCGCTGCAAGAAGTCCACATACAATACCCCTACCAGCTGCAGCAAACGCAACCGAATTTTATCGAGAATGAAATCCAAATAACCGAGTTACAGTTGCACTCCATAAAAGACATGCCGCATGTCGATGCTGACCACGGTGGCTCACATTCCACCGATATGCCAAAAACAAATGCGGCCACAATGACTACAGCTTTACCACAGCCGTCAGATGCCACCATGCTGAGAATGGTGAGAACTAGTCGCGGTGTAGGAGCGACTAGTGGGAACGCGGACCTGAAACGCAATTTAACGCAAAATTTCCAAACACAAACCTCAGCGTTTACCCACGACGCTGTGGAAACTTGCAGAGCATTGCCAGATGCAGCACAATCAGCGGCATCGTCTTTGGCGCAGCTACCACAACACCAACCTTCGCAATTTCACCAGCAGCAAGTGCAATTAATGCATTCCACAAATACGAACAGAATGATAAACGATATGCAACAAACTGAAATGGATCAATTGAGTCAACAGCTTATAAAGCAAGAAACTCAGAGGCAAACAGAGTTACAATTTCAAATAATACAGCAACCCCCACAGGCACTGCTAAGGGGAGCGGATGAAAATCAAAGAATGCATACAATGATGACGACACCAAACACGCTGATGCTATACCAAACGCCGGCTCGACAAGTCGATGCGCACGCAACACAGCCACAGCAATACCCTCCGCAGCAGCAGCAGCAGCTGGAGCAACATTTTACTCAACAGCAGTTGATTGCAGTCAGTAAACAATCGGCACAGCCGCATAGTTCACAGAACGCCGCAGGAAGCACAACATCCTCCGCAATCTCGAATGCTACAATGGCTAGGGCAGTAACACCGGCGACAGCATCAGCACCAGCGCCAACAAAGCAAACAAATCTAACACGAAAACGTGGTCGTCCGCGAAAGTACGATGATGAAATGCTGTTAGCGAATTCCGAACTGCTGAGGAAACGTAGTGCACGCGATACGGCGGAGAAGTTTGCTAAACCTAATCAGAGCATAAAAATAATTCCGATCGCCGCTGCGAATAGTAATGCTGCAATAACAACAACTAACCAAATTAACACACAAGCTAGCCAATTAATAACAACAATACCAACAACAACTTACTATACACTAACCCATAATCCACATGAATTAGAACAACAACAGGCACATCAACCAAACTCCATCAGCCTGTCAGCACTAGCAACACATTCACCTATGCATGCGCAGTTGGAACAACAATCACTAAGACCATCATTTACCAGCCAAAGCTCAGCGAATGCTTTTAGTTTAATAGAAAATATGATTATTGGGGTTGAGGCTGCTGTTGCTTGTGGTAGTGGTAGTGGTAATGATCAACAGCGAAATGGTAATCAGCAATCGCAGTCTCCTCACACACAGCCACACATGCCGCCATCACCGTCAAGTAGTCGGCATGATCAGCACCATGTATGATATCCATATTTTCATGAAGAGCTCTTCAATCATACCTTCCGATTTGTCGATATCTAATTTATTTGTTTTTTATATTTTTATTTTTAAAGATATTAGGAGTTCTACTATTTCAGTTTTGAGATTACAAGGTTTAGGTATTTAACGGTTAAATTGCTGCGAATACTTGCTTTTCGCTAGGACATATTTATCTTTTTAAGTTATAAATTATTTTTTTTCTATTGCACTTGGTGCATAATTAAACAAGTATTGGATTTCCTTGAGAACTCCCCTTGTGCAATATTTCAAAGAATTTGTTAAATTTGTTTTATTTTTTTAATATTTGTACAAGACTTGAGAATAGTTTTTTTTAGACACAAAGCTTGATTATTTACGTTGACACTTTCCTATTATGTATTCGGATTGTATATTTCTTAGCTTTATCAAATTTGCAGTTTAGGTAGATTTTTCGAATTAAGCCTCTTTATTATCTTTACCCTCCGAATTATATTTCCTTGCTTTAAACTGCACAATGCTGGTTTTATCAATCAGTAAACTCCAAGCTCTAGATAACAAGCGGGGTATAAGAGTAAAAAAAACTTGCCTTCAATTCATAGCTGCTGTTTTGTTAGAAGAAAGGCATAACTTCTATCACTAAAAATTAATAACGAAACTTTTAATAGCTTCGTTTTAACCGACTTCNAGCGGGGTATAAGAGTAAAAAAAACTTGCCTTCAATTCATAGCTGCTGTTATGTTAGAAGAAAGGCATAACTTCTATCACTAAAAATTAATAACGAAACTTTTAATAGCTTCGTTTTAACCGACTTCAAAAAAGGATAAGGTTATCAATTCGTCGGAATATATATATATATATATATATATACATATTTTTGTAATGTATTATACCGCATAACTTTGGACCACGTCACCCGATTTCTATAATTTAATATATAATTTTTTAAAGGAAAGTTGGTACCTCATAGGTGGTCCCATTCTAATTTAGTTAAGATCCGATCAGTGGATCATTAAGAAATTAACGGTACTCTTAAATTTTTATATGAGAATTGAAGTCGGTTTTGTTTTTTTTGCTAAAAAATTACTTGTTTTAATTAAATATATCAAAATTCTAGTAAACACTTCGAGTTAAATGCTTTAAATCTACATTAAGTTTTGAGTGAAAGTGCAATTTTAATTAAAGATAGAGTTTTTAATTGCATCTTATATTTGTAAAAATTTTCTAATTAAAAATTGTATATATATTATTACTGGTAGCTGTTAGCTCTACTTAAATTAAGTTAAATTAAATTTGCATGCCAAAGAGCATTTAGACTTTATTTAGAATAAATATTTTCAATATCATGCAAAATTTATGACAAAATTCGGAACGTTCCTTCGAAAGTCCGGTCTACATTACCCAAGCGACACAATTTCATTTTCGGGCCAAGGACAGTCACTTCAAAGGCGTGATGCACAAAACCTTTTTTTTTGGAATGTTTTATGCTCACTGTGGCGACACTTAGGCTAGACCTTTAGTTACTAGAACTAGTTAAACTAAATTCGATAGGAAAATTTAACAATGACAGATTCATAGATCAATTCAGTGTTAGCGGATTGACACCGCTTGAAAGGCTTAGATCACTAAACTTTTATTTTANGAGAGCGAGAGAGAGAGAGAGAGAGAGAGAGAGAGAGAGAGAGGGAGAGAGAGAGAGGGAGAGGGGGGGGGGGGGGGGGGGGGAGAGAGAGAGAGAAAAATAGTCGAAACAAATCCTCGAATAATTTAGGTTTATATGGTAGATCCCATAGAAAACTCGATCACGGAAACAAGTCTTTTACATGCCAAATTCAAGTCATACGAAACAAAAAACAAATATGCTTTGTCTAATAGCGGCCGCCCCTTGGCAGCCAATGGCAAACCTCCGAGTGTATTCTGCCATGAAAAAGAAGTTTCTCATAAAAATGCAATCGCCGGTCGGAGTCGGCGTAAAACTGTAGGTTCCTCCCCTTTGTGTGACAACGTCAAGGCGCACGCTACAAATCGGAGAATAAGCTCTGCCGAACACTAACATGTTGTGTAAGCGCCATTCTATTTTTATTAAAAAGTTTCCTATGGTGAATATCGTCATCGCCAGTAAATGTGACGATATGGTCATCGTCAGCCATGTTACTGATGCGCTGACGATCGTCGACGATGACGATATTCAGCTTAGGGCATGACACCACTGATTGGTCCACTACGCAGAAAATGTTTATTTTCGACTTTTTTCGGTGTACAATGTATCCTTTTTTTTCATAAACATTGGACTCCATCATTGTTTTATGGATGACGTCAAAACACTTCATCAATTACCTACCTCTCATTTTCAAAGTGGCGCCAGTTATTCATACTTCTATGCGAGAGAACCGGTGCGCTGTTTTTGCCTTGAATAGTTCTCCCGAATGGTGGTCTTATTTAAAAATTAAGACTTGTTCTGACGATGTCATTTTTTGACGACTGGAATGGAATCACAACTCCATTTCATACGCATAAAGCATGCTGCCCTTTTTCTCATTTGCGTAGAGGTCAATCCAAGAATAACTCTTGCCAATAGGTGGCACGTTGGACTCGGTGGGCGCTTGAAAAGCAAAGCAATTTATAGACGAATAAAATCAATTTCTAACATGTAAGAAAGTCTTAAGTTCGGGCGGACAATAAATACCCGGCGCAAGTGTTAAATATATGTTTTCCACTTTTCCGAAAACTACCGCTACATGGTAAGCCAGGGTGGTTTTACCCCTATTTTAAACATCTTCGATAGAACGTTCAGTTAGACATAATGAGATAAACTTATATAGTGATAAGTGGGCGATATCACGCCAATTTTCCAAAATTCCAAGCAATGTTACCTCTTTTGTTGTTAGTATAAATTTTAAGTAAATTAGCGTCCTTAAATTTCGAAATATTGAAGTTTCAAGCATTTCTGAAATATATGAAAAGCAGCCGTAATTTTAGTCCGATTTCAATAATTTTCAACGTTTTGCTTTTATGTGGCAAGCACAATAACCACACCGAGTTTGGTGCAACGGTTACCGAGATACATATATGTGATCATGGGTGGGCGGTGCCACGTTCGATTTTAAAAATTTTCGGCCATTTGGTATGTTGTACCAAGGCCAACAACTGTGCTAAGTTTGGAAGAAATTGGTGGCGCGGTTACTAAGCTATACACATGTACCAAAAATGTATAATATTCTTATTTTTCGTCTAAAAATTATTGTAAATATCAATTTTGAGTGCGTAATCTTCAGTAGTTACTAAACTATCGCAGTTTTCGTATTTATGAAAAATGCCGTTATATGGGAGGTAGGCGTGGTTATTGTCCGATTTTGCCCATTTTCAATACCATCCATCCTACGCCCGAAATATCGCGATTCGTTTTGCCAGTTACAAACAACCGTTATGTGAACAAAACCTTGTGCACAAGTGCGCTCGGGTATAAAAAAAAGCGTCATCATGCGCGTCCTTTTTTACATATAGACTTATCAAACATAAACGGCATCGGACAAAGATGAAACGGCTTATGGAGGTTTTCGGGATACATATTCTACCCTACTGAAAGAAGTCTGATGAGGAAATGTGGTGATTTCCGAAATAGCTATCACTTCTACAATTTTTTCAAATTATTGTTGCTTTTCCACAATAAATTTTCATTAAAAAACGGCCTGGAGCTCAATAAAAATTGTTGAATATTCTACCTAAAAGTTATGGCGCTTTTCGAGTGAACGACATGTGCCGAAGAAGATGGAATGAAGAACGAAGAAGAAGAGAGAGAGAAGAAGCTTACGAGCTTCTTCAACCACGTGGATACAGTTAATCGTATAAAAATGCGATTGTGCTGACTTGGGCATGTCGTACGCATGGACTATGCGGCCACAATCAGAAGATCGCTCGACTCGGGAACCAAGTGTTGGAACACCGAGCGAAGCAGAATGCAATCGAAGTAACAAATGCAAACACCTGTCTGCTCTTGGGTTGAACAACTGGCGCAACTTCGCAAATGAGAAAGGCAATTTATTTTGCCCCCAAATCGACAAACGGTTGTAGTGCAAAGTAAGAAGATACACTCCTTGGCTTGACTAAATAGACATACATAAATCCGTCTAAGTTGGTGTACATAGGTCCAATTGATTGATGAGAAATCGAATTTTAGCATAAGAAAATCTATTTATTTGTATAGATTAAATGAAGTTTGAAAAAACAGATCCCTTGTGTTAAAAATTCTAAATTTTTCACAAGAAAAAATATTTATTTTTGAACAAATGTACTGCGCTAGTGATGCTTCTTTAACATAATGGCATAAATGAGTTACTTGAATTATATTTATTCTAAATTATGCTATGTGTGTATTATTGTCAGATCGTATTTGATATTGTGAAACATTGAACTGAATATTAATTTTATTGTACTTAATAGGCTTAAGAATGAATGTACATACATATATGAATTACAAAGTAATACTTACATACATAAATATATATACATACGCATACGTGCATATAAATACATACTTGTATTTAGGCCTACGAATCAAATGGCGAAAATGGCTCAAAATTAATTTTTAAATTTAGGAAAAGTAAAAGAACAAATGAATAAATCGGAACTGCAATGGAATAACCATTATAAATCTCTTTTATTTTTGTTTCATTCTTAAGCCGAAATCACACTATTTGTACATTTGTACATATTTGGCCCAGCTTTTATTTTATGATTGACACAGAGTGGTGTTGTATAGAAATTTTTATCGAAAATGAGTTCAACTCAATTAAAAAATTTCCAAACAACTGCATTTTGTAACTGTCAAAATGTGCAAATGGTGTGATCCCAGCTTTATATACATACATACGNATGGAATAACCATTATAAATCTCTTTTATTTTTGTTTCATTCTTAAGCCGGAATCACACTATTTGTACATTTGTACATATTTGGCCCAGCTTTTATTTTATGATTGACCCAGAGTGGTGTTGTATAGAAATTTTTATCGAAAATGAGTTCAACTCAATTAAAAAATCTCCAAACAACCGCATTTTGTAACTGTCAAAATGTGCAAATGGTGTGATCCCAGCTTTATATACATACATCATAAATGTACATCGCCTGCAAATCGATAATTTACACTAAATAATTTAGTTAGGTATTTGTGGTGTATGAATATTGTATTTTGTTATGCACAATTGGTGAAGTTGCATTAATCAAATAAGTTGCCTGTAGTTAACAAATTAGCACAATTTTTTCAATTGAAACACACGGTATTGGTCTAAAATGCGCACACAAATGCACTACACCTACATACATATTTATATGCAAGTATGACGTTTAAATGTTTTGTTATAAGGAGTAATTGGTTTCGGAGCCGTGTTAAAAAAAAAAAACAAAAAAGAAATTTGTTTGAGAAATATTTTTTTCTGAATAAAAGTATTTATTTGAAATGTACATAAATACCTAACAAAAATGTTAAATCGTAATTTTTATACATTGTTTAAAACGTTAAAGAAAATGTTGCATGCAGTTATTTTTGATGAGCGATTATGTAAATAACAATTTTATTGAACATGAATTTAAAAAGCNTCATAAATGTACATCGCCTGCAAATCGATAATTTACACTAAATAATTTAGTTAGGTATTTGTGGTGTATGAATATTGTATTTTGTTATGCACAATTGGTGAAGTTGCATTAATCAAATAAGTTGCCTGTAGTTAACAAATTAGCACAATTTTTTCAATTGTAACACACGGTATTGGTCTAAAATGCGCACACAAATGCACTACACCTACCTACATATTTATATGCAAGTATGACGTTTAAATGTTTTGTTATAAGGAGTAATTGGTTTCGGAGCCGTGTTAAAAAAAACAAAAAAGAAATTTGTTTGAGAAATATTTTTTTCTGAATAAAAGTATTTATTTCAAATGTACATAAATACCTAACAAAAATGTTAAATCGTAATTTTTATACATTGTTTAAAACGTTAAAGAAAATGTTGCATGCAGTTATTTTTGATGAGCGATTATGTAAATAACAATTTTATTGAACATGAATTTAAAAAGCATTGTACCAGATATTATTCCGTTTTGAAGCAATTTTGAGCTTCGCCGTAGTCGAAATGCGCTTTTGTGAGCCGAAGTAATTTTAAGTGAATGAAATAGCAAGAAAGACCGAACGCTTATGTTAACTAAGAATTTATTTTCGTACAATATCTTGATTGCCGCCGAAAGCGAAAGGGCGAATGCCAAAAAAACGTCTACGGTTTGCGCCAAATTTTCTTTAATCAACTCTCAATGAACTTGCCTTTCTAACTGAATT